ACCCAAAGCTTCCCCTTCACATGGGAAGGATGGGGCCCAGAGAGGGCCAGGGTCTTGTCTCAGAGGCAGGCTGTACTTCTATGTTTCAGAGTCTCAGACTAGTTCTTCTTTCTTCCTCTCTTGTGGTCAGTGCTAAGGTTTTTTTCAGCAACATCACATTTTGTTGGAAAAGGAGGTGTAATAGCTATGCTTTTTCTTCCCCAGTGATGTCCCCTTGTCTCAACCAGTTCTGACATAGGCCAAGTACGTGTTACCACCCTATTGAGAAGGGGATGAATGTTGATAGCAGATGGACTCCACGCTCCATCTACCATCATGCCATGGCTACTTACCGCCCTTAATTTTGGTAGCTTCCTGCTTATTCTAAAATCTTAATACTTAAAAGAGTCTCCTTGCATATATACCAACCATAATGGCATGTGAAGTTCCGGAAGGAACTCTTGGTATAAGGACTAGATTTTCTTGTCTTCATTGTGAAATCTGATACAAATCATAACTCAGTGATCATAAGCTCTCTTCAAATATGGTGCCACTGGCCTGTTATCACCTTCTTATAGTGATGCAGGACTTTTTCATGTATAATGTCTCTCCAGTCACACCTCGAAAATAATAAGAATAGAAACAACAAAATCTATGTCAATGTATTTTAGGGAAATACTTTTTTTTGAATGCTTAATAAGTAGCCAAGCAAAGTTATTGATTCCAATCTTAGTTCCTCAACTCAATTTCCCCAACATTTAACTTCAAACTTTCTTATCTTAGTAGTAGTAAAGGTATACTGTGTCCTATATCCCAATAGTGAGGAAGTTTTGTTAAGTGGATAGTATTTTCTTGTCCTTGCACATGTTTTGCCTGTGCTAGGGATGAGAGGAAAAGAGGAGAAAAAGCAACTATTCTGTATGTGAAATCTGAAAGAAGGTCACAGGATCCTGAGAACTCTGGTTACCTGTTAGAAAGTCAGTTAGATCAAAAAGAATTAACCTAGAAGGTAACACCCACGCACAGGAAATCAATGTGAGTCAATACCCTGTAAAGCTATCCTTATCTCAACCAGCAAAAACCCTTGTTCCTTCCTATTATTGCTTATACTCTCTCTACAACAAAGTTAGAAATAAGGGCAAAATAGTTTCTGCTGGGTATTGAGGGGGTGGGGGGAGAAGGAGGGGGCAGAGTGGGTGGTAAGGGAGGGGGTGGGGGCAGGAGGGAGAAATGACCCAAGCCTTGTATGCACATATGAATAATAAAACAATAAAAAAAAAGAAAGAAAGGCAACCACAAACCAAACCAAACACCTGACACTATAGTTTGCTGTCAAGGCAGAGTTCTCAACCAAAACTCTAAATACCGTTGCAGTGGACTTCCACATCCTTTTCTAATTTTCATCTCCTTATGTTCACACTGACATACATGTGCATGTGCATGGTAAAAATCTACCCAGGACTATAATAATGAGCTAATTGTGATTCATAAATTCATAGCCTATGGATGTTACAATCACCTGGTATTACTCACAGATAAAGAAATGAAGTAACCTGTAGGATTCAACTGGATATTCAGGTTAAACTAGACCTACTCCTCATAGATTTTTTTCCCCCCTTGGTGCTTGCACATCTGCTCATTGTTTTTGAAGTTTTTATTTTAACCTGGTCATTAGACCATTTAAATTTCTGAGTGGTGAATATCCATCATTATAAACACTGTACCTATAGGGGTCACACTAATCTCTTATTCTGCAGAAAATAGAATTGGAAAACTATGGATTGAGGAAATTCAAAAATAGTTTTTAGAGAAAAGCCATGGAGTATCATTAATATTAAAAATTGGCATTTAGAAGTTCAATGACATCAAATTTTTAACAGAAAAATTTTATTTTTCTCAATGTTTTCTTTACATTTATTTTTAATGATATATACAAACAAAATGCATAAATATTCATATAAAGCTTGGATACATACATACATTCATGTGAATGTTCGAATCAGGGCAAACATTATCTATTCTCTCAAACTTTTATCATTTCTTTGTAGTGAAAATATTCAAACTCCCTTCTTCTAGCTTTTGGAAACACACAGTTCATTATTCTCTGTGGTCACCCTAACATGTATTTGGTTCACAATGACATGTACTGGTAACATTGCTTTTATGAATATACAAATCAACTCTTCTACCTCCTTTTATTTGGCTTAATAATTCTTATGATTCTCAGAAAGCAAACCCCAATATGATACATGGCAAGTTGAAATGCAAATCTTCTGTCTTACAGACCTGCAAACCTCCCCATTGTCCTTCTAACTCTACCCATGAAGTGTGGAACAATTGAAGGCACAAGAGATCACAAGTGCATCTCAAGTCCTGCCTCAGTTTGAACTCTCAAACTCTCAGTGTTTTTTGTTTGTTTGTTTTTTTAATTTGCAGGTAACTATGTTTTACTTTAGTCAGTGTTCATTTCAAGGACTTGTACAATAAGACTTCTTTTCTAATTGACAAAATCTTCACTTTTCTTAATTATCAAGCTCTCAGGTTCCTATTTGACTTTTAGTGGTCAGAATGATTTATTGTTGATGAAGCTGAAAGAAATAAATGTGCGAATGATGCCTGATTCATGGTAGCTCCTATATTTATGAATTTTCTTCCCGTTCACTACCAAAGAGCCAGGAGCCAGGGCTTATCATTCTGGGACAGGGAGAAAGAAATTAGAAAGGCGATTCAAATTCTGATTGTAGAGTGTTAATTTCTCATGATTCTCCCCCAAAGAAGTACTTTTCATGAATCCCTATTCAGAGCAAACAAACATTACTTGTTTGCCAAAAAGAAACATGGACTCTAACAGGCCTGTGGGCCTATAGGTGAATTGGAAAGTATGTGTAATACCTGTTGTTTCTTGTTAATTACCCAAATTGCAAAAGAATCCTTTTTTTTTCTTTTTTTATTATATTCATATGTGCATACAATGTTTGGGTCATTTCTCCCCCCTTCCCTCCACCCCGACCCCTGCTTCCTCCCTTACACCCCCAGCCCCTTGCTACCAGGCAGAAACTATTTTGCCCTTATCTTTAGTTTTGTTGAAGAGAGAGGATGAGCAATAATAGGAAGGACCAAGGGTTTTTGCTAGTTGAGATAAGGATAGCTATACAGGGAGTTGACTCACATTGCTTTCCTGTCCATGTGTTACCTTCTAAGTTAATTCTTCTAGAACTAACCTTTTCTCTAGTTCCTGGTCCCCTTCTCCTATTGGCCTCAGTTGCTTTAAAGTATCTGCTTTAGTTTCTCTGCATTGAGGACAATAAATGCTATCTAGTTTTTTAGGTGTCTTACCTATCCTCATGCCTCCCAAGTGTGCTCTCGCTTTATCATGTGCTCAAAGTCCAATCCCATTGTTGTGTTTGCCCTTGATCTAATGTCCACATATGAGGGAGAACATACAATTTTTGGTCTTTTGGGCCAGGCTAACCTCACCAGAATTATGTTCTCCAATTCCATCCATTTACCAGCGAATGATAACATTTCATTCTTCTTCATGGCTGCATAAAATTCCATTGTGTATAAATACCACATTTTCTTAATCCATTCGTCGGTGGTGGGGCATCTTGGCTGTTTCCATAACTTGGCTATTGTGAATAGTGCTGCAATAAACATGGTTGTGCTGGTGCCTCTGGAGTAACCTGTGTCACATTCTTTTGGGTATATCCCCAAGAGTGGTATTGCTGGATCATATGGTAGATCAATGTTTAGATTTTTAAGAGGCCTCCAAATTTTTTTCCAGAGTGGTTGTACTAGTTTGCATTCCCAACAGCAGTGTAAAAGGGTTCCTTTTTCCCCACATCCTCGCCAACACCTGTTGTTAGTGGTGTTGCTAAGGATGGCTATTCTAACGGGGGTGAGGTGGAATCTTAGTGTGGTTTTAATTTGCATTTCCCCCAAAGAATCCTTAAGAGATAGATGGCCATCAAATTCAGAAGGAAGATAGTAAAATTGCAAAACAGAAGAACATGCTTGAACGTGAAGAAGCCTAGCCTCTCCCCAATACTGTCCTTGAATATTTATAAAGAAGTAAACTCTGGACTTCATCTGCTGAGCACATCTGAGATTATTTAAGTGATGTCATTGGTGAAATTGAAATTATGATAGACTGTGAAAGTAAGGGTTTACAGAAGCATGTGACTTTTAACTCTTGTATATTTGAATAACATGTTTATTTTGTTACTTTTTTCACTGAGAAGTCTCTGTAGCTTACTCCTGTACCAGATTTTAGTAAAAACCCCACAAATTTCCAGAAGATGACCAGATGTGAAAAAAGTAGATATGTTATTTTTTTGTTTTGAGATGGCACCTAAACCTTGAAGTGAAAAATGAGACATATCTCCATATTTTTTGATCCTATAACAAATTTGGTCAACTGTAAAATTTGTCATTGTCAAATTTTAGAAGATGATGCAAAAGTTTACCCAGCAAAATTCAAACTTCAGCTTTGCTATCATTATCGTTATTTATTCATTCTCACTTTGAAGTAGAGTTTAAGTTGTCTCTACTGGTCATCTCAGGACATGGTTGACGTGTGTGTGTGTGTGTGTGTGTGTGTGTGTGTATATAAATTAGAATGAGATAGAAAATTATTGATGTTTTTACTCAGGTCTAAAATATTTCCATTCTTTCTTAAAAAGTTAATTATCTGTTCCTGAATTTTGCATCAATGATAAGAGAAAATGCAGCATTTTTTAACACCTTCTGTGTTTGTGTCTACTCTAGACACATTATTTCATTTGAGCTCTACAAAGAACTGAGAAATGAGGCTCCTTATTTCTGTCATAAAGATGAGGAAACCCAGGCTCTGAGACATGGACATGGCCAAGGTCACATAGCCAAGAACAGAGAAGGGTCTGAACTCATCTTTCTGATGGGTCTTTTCCTTCACCCTCGATCTTCTGAGGTGGTCGTTTGAATTCCTTCATGAAATTCTTCTTCAAACTCTTGAAAGCCTGCTAACATTTATAGCACCAGCCATGGTGGGCCCTCTGTGTCATAGCAGCAAGGTAAGTCCTTAGTTACCTCCTAAGTATGTGTTATCAGAATTTCTCCCCCATCAGCTCCCCTTCCTTTTCCCTTATGCATTTATCTTCTTAAAGCTTAGGGAGATGACACCACTTTTTACCCTACAGCTTTCTTGTAAGTTTCTCATCTATTATTTTATAATCATTTATTTGAACATACAGTACAGGAAATTAAAATTCTCTACATTCTTATTTCTTAAAAAATTATTTTTTGAATGAAGGTTGTCCTACTGCATTCCCAACCCATGTTCCTCTACTCAGTGGATGCAATTATTCTCCAAAATGTTCTTTCATGTGTAACTTTTCCATTGTCATTTTAACTTTAGTCTTCTTGGAGCCTGTCTCATATGGTAATGAGGTAGTGAGACATTTTAAACTTTCCAACATATAACCATTGTTTAATGCCAGTTTAAAGTGATCTTTCATTTCACTTTAATTTAAAAATGCTACCTCATATTTTGAATATCCATGTATAGTTAGAAGATTTTTTTTCTGGAGGATTTCTGCTGTATTTACCTATTTCATTATTTTTACAGAATTATCATGTTATGTCATGAATTTTGTAATAGCTATTAAGGTTTACTATGCCAAATGTCTACTCACTACTATTTTTAGTTTTCTTTATTATCATATTATTAATTCACTGGAGGTATATTGTGACATTTATAAAAGTTTTTACAATATATCATAGTTGAATTCACTTCTTCATCATTCTCCTTTATCCTCCTCCCTCCTTCCTGGAATAATTTCAACAGATCTCATTTTTCTATTTTCATGGATGAGTACATAACATTTCCACCATATTCACCTCCTATACCCTTTCCTTATATTCCCCCCTCTCCAACCTGTACCAACTCCCAGACAGGACCTATTTTACCTTCCTATTCTCCATTTTTGAAAAAAGACATTTTGTTTGTTTAAGATAAATATACAGGGAGTTTAATTGTGACATTTCCATGTGTATATGTATTTTAACCCAAATAGGTTCATCTCCTCGATTTTTCCCCTTTTTACACTAGTTCTTATAGCTAATCTTCCCATAGTAGAACATATGATAAGCTATTGTAGCAATTATGATTTGAATTGCAGTCAGTTTATATTTGGATTTCAGAGACATGGGCCTCCTTATGATGATACTTTTTCTTTATTAATGTTTCTCCATATATTTGCATTTTACTAGGGACCATTACTAAAACTTTGTACTGTGTTCTTCATAGGTTTTATGTTTTCTTATAAATTTAATAAGTAAATAAATTTAATTATTTAATTATAATAAATTTATGATTCATTAGTTATTCTTTTGCTTCTTCTTACTTAAATCCTGTGGTTCTAGAAATATTAGAAATACAGATAATTTTTTTTTCAGGGCTTCATGACTGCTAGGCAGGTGTTCTACCAACTTGAACCATGCCTCTAGCCCTTTTTTGCTCATGTTTTTAGATAGGGTCTTGCTTTTTGCTAGGGTTGGCAAGGACTATGATCCTCCTATATATACTACCCACAGTAGCTGGGATGACAAGTATGTGCCACCACACCTAGCTTTCATTGGTTGAGATGGGGGTCTCATAAACTTTTTGCCTAGGTTATCCTGGAAGCATGAAACTCCTGGTTTCACCCTTCTCTTTAACTAGGATTTCAGGTGTGAGCCATCAGTACTGGATTAAACAATTCTTAAGACTTATAAAATGTTACATCTGGTCTTGGAACAAGAGAAAAGAATAGACAAAAAGAGATTGAGTATGGGTCATTGATGTGTACCAAAAGTACAAAGAAAGGGTAATCAACCCCTTCAAGTAATAAATTGGAATTCTCAGTTTAAAAATTCTTTATAAGTCAATATAATATTATAAAGTGATATAATTTTCATCCAGCCATTTCATCCTCTCTAATTAGGTTAGTGGTTCTGAGATTTCAAAAATGGATAGCTGTCCACCATGATCACATTTATTCCTTCATCCTCAGGGGTAGAGGCCATGTCTGCTCATGGAAATTAGGCAGGGACAGGGTGGGTCTGAAGTGAAGATGGTCATCAGAACCTGTCCTCCTAAGTCCTTGCAGCTGGACACCATATGCACACTCTTGGGAATGCCTGGTTGATTCTGGGAACTCCTTTATTCCTATTCTGAAATGAGTGACATAAGATCAGAAAACTGCCTTCAAGAGTTTTATATCAAAGAACAGAATTTTTTCTACATCGTAGTTTACATAAGGAATGTGTAATTTCATGGGAGATATAATTATATATTTATTCTCTTAATCCAAGAAAAATAATAAGTTAATACAGAACATATTTTCTCATTTTGCATTGATCTGATCATTATGCCAAATGGAAAAAGTGGTTTTACTGAAAATAGAGACCTTGGATCATATTTCTCAAATGTGTTGATACATTTGCATATTCAGTTACCACAGCACTTCTTCCATTCAGAAATTGCTAAGGGAGATGCCTTGGTGTTTATGAGAAAAGGGGAATGTTTCTTTGATGCGATCTCTGAGCAGTTTTAACACAACTGAACACCTGGAAATGAAAAAAGAATTCTTAGAACACTTTTCCTGGAACTTAGAAAAGTATTTGGTTGACCAGTTGGCCCAGCAATCTTATTTCCTGCTCTAACTTTTTCCATTTTCTGTTGGCACTTTCTCATGATCACTGCCTCAGTAGAAACCAATTTATGAGATTAGTCTATGAGGAAATTTATAAACTATCAGATGCCACAAAACCTATATTCAATGATTTCAAAGGAGTCCAGAAGTTCAACATGTCAGGACAAAGTCGTTAAACTGCTTGTCATGTCATGAAGATTTTTGTAAAAGCTGTGAGCATTGTGATAGCACTGGCTGGATCAAGATATTTGGAGAAGGAACAAAGGTCATAGTAACTGCCCCTGGTAAGTAAATTTCTCTTATTATCCTAATAATGAAAAATGGATAGGTGCTTTTTAGGACAAAAACCAATGATGACCATTCTTATCTAACTCTATCCATGCATAGAAAGTTTGCAGGTACTACCTACTGGATGTGGAAGGAAAACTACTTTCTAAGTGATTTCTTCCCTCCCTCTCAGTGAGTAGATTGAAATTCTAAATTTAAAATGCACATCACAAAAGAAAGCCTCAGACTAGACATTAAAATGTCTTGAGGACCGTGTCCTTAGGCAATTAGTGTAAGTTATTACTTTAAAGGTGCTTTTTTTGTAGCAGTTCTTGTAAGTAAGAATCCTCAAAATGGAATTTTGTTTCCTTTCTGCTCCCTTCTCTAGACAACCTGAAAAATCTGGATTCTTAGTTTTGATCTCTTACCCAAGAATAGTGAAAAACTTAATTGTACAGTAAATTGATAGAAGACATAAATGAATTATACTTCTTATTTCTCTAACTTTGTGTAGGCTAGGCTGATTTTTTAGTCAAAATTCATGTCCCTGTGACTCTTGTTATATTGCCTGGAGATTGCCCAGTTTACTGGGATTTGTAGCTTTCACAAACCATTTCTGTCCATTTCTGACTCTTCATGGTTTTACATTCTCATTTGCTTATTCATTCTTTCAGTAAATATTTATTGAAGGCAGTTTTTGTGGTGTATGCAGGATATAAAACTGTCAACAAAACATGTACCTAACAATTAAAGTGATTGGATTAGTGTTCCAGATTTTGGGCTGATTGTGCCTCCTCGTGTTCTTCTGCTTGAGGCTGCCACAGAGGCAGAGAGAAGAGGTCCTGGGTTCATGGGCTCTTTTCCTTTCTTAATTTGTGTAGTAGTTATTGATTATAAAATTCATAAACAAGATGAACATCCTTAATCCAAAAGTGTGAAATTCAAAAACATCCAAGCTCTGAAATGTTTCTGGTCTTAAGCTTTTTGTATGGAATGTTAAATATGTACTTTGTTTAGTGGAAGAATTTGATGAAATGGCCCAATATCATACTATTAAAAAGAAAAATATTAGCTAATTTTTTTCAGGCAGGATACCATGCTAAAATATACCATGTTAGTGCCATTAATCACCTGCCCTGTAAAATAGAACCTCTTACTCCCTTTTGACAAGTGAAGACACTGAGGCACAGGTGCAGTTACTTCTTAATCACTATACTAGTAATTGGGCAGCTTGGGACCCAATTGAGATTTGTTCATTTTAAAACACCTAGTGTGGAACTTACCTGATATTACAAAATTAAGTTGTGTTTTTAGGCTCTGAATGTTCCTCTTCTATATCTTGACCTATTATATGGACTGTTTCATTGACTAATTAGTAACAACTCACAATTTATATTATTGTAGTATGGTACTGTAGTTACCTTTTTCTCCTGTTCAGAAGATCATGGATATCATATTTATAAGCATTTATTAACTACTCAAGATATAATTATTAGGGTACTTCTATAGAATGACAAGTCATTTTGGCAGTATTCCCTTGAATTTTATTTTTATATTGGCATCAAATTTGCCAGAAATAGTGAAGCTTCTAAGAGTTGTGGCAATTGTACAAAACTATGTTCTTCAGTTGCATAACTCAAAGGGGAATAAAGGAGAATTATGGAGAAGAGTGAATTCAAGCATGACATATTAATATATTGTAAGAACTTTTGTAGAGGCCACAATATACCTCCAGCATAACAATAAAAAAATAGAGAATTTACTTTATAATCGATCCAGATACCCATCTCTACATTCATACAAATCAGAAAATACCCATTAATCATTTTGAATATACACTTTAAATACTCATATGTGATTACTATTATTGTTGCCATTTGAAAATTATAGAAATATTAATCTAGCCCAAATGAAAACTCTTGGTTCTACTGAGAATCAAAACCAGGGTCTTGAGTATGCTAGGCAAGTGCTTTACCATTGAGCTACAAGCTCAGCCCCGATAAAGACTTTAAGTTAGCAAATTTAGAAGATGCTGGAACACCCCTAGAAAAGATAAAATCCAACATATGTGATGCAAGAGAACAGTGAAAACCCAAGCTGCTACACAGTGTAGGCTCAGTCCTTTAATTCCTGATTACACACAGATCTAATGTGATTTGTTTCTGCTTAATATCAGTAAGGCCAATTACTATTTATTTACATAGTGACAAAATATTGGTGCAATTTAAAAACAAGCACAAAGGGAGTTTTTTTAAGGCTTTTGAGATAATGGGTAATGGATGACAACAATCAAAGTGTGATCCTGGCACAAAACTCAAATTACAGGTAAATTTTCTTTCGATCCTGCTGGGTAAAGTGGAGAGGAGAAGCAGACAGGCAGGTGCTTCAGGCCCCAGGGCAGGTGTTGGTTCAGAGTTCTTGAATTCATCCTGGTTTGATCACTCTTCATAGTGTGTTATCCAGAAAGACCAGGCAACTTGGTCCATGTCCTAAGAGGCAATATTGTATGTAATATCACATGGGATACATTAACAAGGAGTTCAGAGCAACTATGGATACATGGGAGATGGACGTGTAAAATTTTATTCTCAAAAGTAAAAGAAAATGTAGTGGAACACACATGTTTTATTAAAAGAAGCACCCCAAAATTTCAGTATGATATTTGTTCTATTATAAAATTAGAAAGAATTTCAATGCATGAATCCTTTAGGAGGAAAGTAGATATCAATTAGACATTACCATCCACATTAATTTTGAAAAATTCAGGAAGTGGTTGTTAAATTCATTGTTATCACCACTGCCTCAGTGCTCTGGGCCTTACAATGTTTAACATCATATGTACATGGGGACCCTCAGCAGCTAAAGCCAGGCAGATAACATTGAGTGACACAAACTGACTCTAAGGACCAAATTTCCTGCCATTCTCTAGTCATTTGGCCCGGAAGGGCCAAGCCAGGATGTGCCCAGCTGGGCTTCACAGGAGCTGATTGAAAAGTTTATGGCTGAACATTCTGGTGAAGGCTTGAAATTCACGTGTTGTGCTGCTGGATGGGCAAAAAGCCATTATTTTGGATAGCAGATGTAAAGCAGTTCCATGCACTGACTTACATGCTGGCTTGAGCCAGGGTTCTCTTGATTGTCCTAAAGGGCAGCACACACAGATGGGAGCCTATTGAAGCTTTGGTGTGTGCAAGGGGGGCTTCCTGTGATGATGGCTTCTAAGTATATTAGAGCAAAGTAGAAAGCAAAAGGGGAATATATCTACTCTATTGCTTAATTTCTGTGAGTAATGTCAAGGTTTGGCCCTTTGAGGTTAAAATATGTTCAATAACAGTCATTGCAGGCAGACTGCTACTTATAATAATGATGATGACAATAATACCCTCTGTATTTCTACAATATTTTTAACCAATTTGTTTTCTTATCTTGTTTCATTTGGGTCTCACTTCAGTGCTGGTAGTAATGTTGAACTTATTTGCAGTAACATCATTGTTTTCGAATAAATAAACCACTATAACCTTAAAGTCATTTGACTTGTTCAGCTGCAGAACTTGTTATGAGCAAAATGAACCAGGGCCAGAACCCTAGTCTCTTAAAAATTCCAGACCATCATGTTTCCAATGGAATTTAAAGCATTCTGAAACACTAAACTAATCACATGTTTTTGATATGGTCCAAGTCACTGTGGAGTTATCAGAAAATCTTTGGAGGAGGAACAAATCTTGTTGTCACAGGTGGGTATCCAACGGGAGAATGCAAAAGTCAATAAAGAAAAGGCAAAAAATGATCATATTGGGAGAGTTAAAAGAATGCTTAAACAGGAATGTGATTGAGATTTCATGTAGAAAACTTAAGAGATTTTAATATAAGTCCTGTGCTAAAGTAGAGGAGGGAGAACATTGTACAGTTATTTTAACAAGATTTGATATAGTGTACATGTGGAATTCTATAGAGTGCTCGAATATAATGTATGAGATGATATCATTAAAGTGTTTGACCCTGGGATAAAGTTTACTATTACAGGTAATTATGTAATAGAATCAATGGAGTAGATATGTTCCCCTTTCTCATGGTTAAGTGTCATGTGAAAGAGTCTGGGCTTTGCAGCTAGGCAGACCTGGAGCTCTGGCTTCTTCACTGGCTCTGACTCAGTAATCTTTGGACATTATTACTTTGCTCCCAGTTCCTAATTCATAATATGAGATAACAGTATAAACTCACCAAGATTATGTGAGAATTGAGTGAGATAATATGACTGAAGCTCTCGGCTCATTGTCTAAACCATAATAGATGCTCAATAGATGATTTTCACATTCAAATGGAAATGGAGAATTGTCTCCACAATGGTGCTCTTAGCCAATATTATTTACTACAGAGTGAAAATTTTCCAGATGATGCATCTCTACCTTAACTGCTAAAAATGAAGGTTGCCTTAACATTAACTCACACAGAGGTTTTAATCTCTAGGTATTTGCTTTTCTCTAGCAAATATTTTCATCACTTGTCAAGAAAAATCATACAAAAATGTGTTTTAAAGTTTTTTGTGTTATGTACTTTGAAATTTAATCTTTTATCTTAATTGATAATTTCTCTAACATCAGTATTTACTATCTTACAATTTATAGCCAGTAAGATTAGGATTCTGCTCATATTAGAAAACAACTTTAAATTCCTAGAAAATATTCATAATATAAGATTAATTATAGTTTGAATGTTATCATAAATCTGAAATATATTTAAATATGAAATAGCTCTAGCTATTTATTTGATGAAACAAAAACAAAAAACAGAGAGCACTCAAATACATCCTCAAAAAGATACATCCTCATATTTATATTTGAAATATACTTTCAATAGAAGATACATTTGAAAGATAAATTTGTATAAAATTCATTTTCCTGCGTCTTAGCACACAAACCTCTTAAGCAATTTAACTCATAAAATATTGTTTGATTGTGCAAATGAATATACCTAAATGAATTGGACAGGTTTATTTATTTTTTCAATGAATAAAATATATGGTAGAACTTTTCATTGTTCAAATAAAATAGGATAGCTGCCATCCTATGTTTCATGAAAAACAATTTTGATTATGAAAAACACTCTTAATAAATACATTTAAAGGAAAAGTTGTAAATGATTATGTCTTTCAAACAGATTGAAGATACTTACGATTTAGTCAAATGCATTCTTTAACAGTGAGTCAACTATTACATTGAGAAAATTTTAGAAATCCAAGATTCATTTCCTCCTCAAAAACAAGAAATTTTAAAGAATCTATCAAAGAAAAAGAGAGAGAAGAGAGCAAATTGCGTGGTACTCTACACATATAAGTTCCTCAATGGATTTTCAGTTCCTAATTATAATGAATGAGAAGTGTTCCCATGAAGAAACACAAGTTCCTCAGATGAAAATTAGATTTATTAATATATGGAATAGAGACACAAATTATAGAAATATAACGTATAATTGAAAACTAATATTATCTTTTAAAACATGCTTTTAAAATTAAAAGTAAAGTATGTGGTTGAAAAAATATACAGTACCTTACTATGTGCACTAAAAGCAAGAAATTAAAATTAGCACATTGTGACTCAATTCTATTTATAGCATGCTAAAAATACTAATATTGTATGCTTCCTGTTTTGTATAAAAATTAGGATATTTGCTATATGGTCATAGATCAAGAGCCTTTGTTCATTTCTTATCAAATGAGAAACCTAATTATTAGAGGCACTCCAAATTAGCCCAAAGCATGTTAGTAAAGCATTTGAGTTTTAATTGGAATTTAGAAAGTATTCCAATATTTATATTTTCAATCATTAGATTAAAAATAAATGTATAACAAATTAACATTCCAGATACATGTGATACGTCTTTGTGAACATAAGATGCTTGGTTATATATTTTGACATTATGTTTTCAAGAAATTCTGAAACCATAAATTTTATATTACATCATTTTCACCCAGACTTTAATCAGCAGGTTAAGATGAAAATCATTAAGAGCTCCAAAACAGTTAAGTAGTATATAGGATAGATGTTAATTTGTGGAGAGATACTGATTTACGGATTTGCAGATGCATAAAGACCCTCTCCTAACACAGTCAATTCATACTAAAGCACGCATGAGAAGGTGTATTCTTAGTCTTGCTTCAACCTAAATGAAATCTTAAAGCAATGTGGATTTGGTGAACATTTTCCAAAGCAAAACAAAAATTTCATAATCACATCAGATGTTATGATTAACACCAGAGCATTTCTCAAAATAATCCTCAAAGTTTCATTAGGCGTTGTAGAAATGTTGCTATTTTACTTTTAAATTCAAGACACTGTGAATAACTTGGAGGCACAGTTTTAAATACTGCCTGACCCCAAAACCTGAAGTAGTTCAGGTGTGAAAATGAGATGTTGGGTAAAGACACAGATTAACTAGAAGAGCTACAGGAATTTCAGAACAGAGCAGCATGGGGTCTGCATTTGAAGCAAAGAAATCAAATTCATAGATTGTAAATATGCATGGAAGTAGATCCCCATTAAAACAAGAGACTGCATATAACTACAAACAAAACTGAAAACCTTCCTTCTGACTTTTATTCGTACTAGAAATCAGACAAATAAGGTGCAGTGTCGAATTAGCTAAATGAAGACTGGGTTACTCAGAACTGCAGAGTATGGAAAGAGAGTTACATGCCGAGAGAGCATAAGTGATAAAGAATGGGGAAGGGAAGCACATTACAAGGGACCTCAGATCCTCATCTGTACAGAGATCATGAAAGTTACCTGTTCTCCTTCCCCTCTTCTGCCAGCCACTATGATAACATGCTCAACTATGAGAAGCAAAGGGAATTTAAAAAAGACAAAGTGATTCGTGAAGGCTAGAAGTCTTCATTTGAAAGTTAAAAAACTATACCCCATCTTAGCAGTTGAATAAAGTGAAGGCTGAGATCTGGCTTTGCACTTCCAACCTGTGATTTTTAGAAGTTACTTAATTTCTTGAGTCTATGCACAATTGTGAAGTAATAGCAATAATAATACGTTGCGACCTGTTGTGGATGTCAGGCCATGGAGGTCACTAATTCAGTGCCTACTTTTCTTCCTAATGCTATGCATGAGGGTGTCCAGACCATTCATTGTATGGGTTTCTCTAATAATTCTTCTTTATTAATTTTCCATTCCCCCACAGATATAAGCCTTGATGCAGATATTTCTCCCAAGCCCACTATTTTTCTTCCTTCAATTGCTGAGACAAATCTCCATAATGCCGGGACATATCTTTGTCTCCTTGAGAAATTTTTCCCTGATGTTATTAAGGTCCATTGGAAAGAAAAGGGTGACAATAAGGTTCTGGAATCCCAGCAGGGCAACACGATGAAGACTAATGACACATACATGAAGTTCAGCTGGCTAACTGTGAGTGGAAAGGCAATGAATAAAGAACACAACTGTATCGTCAAACATGAGAATAATAAAAAAGGAGTTGATCAATACATTCTCTTTCCTCCAATAAAGAAAGGTATGTATATCTCAATGCAAAAATGCCCTTCCAGAAAAGGGACAGGAATGGGTCTATTCCACATTTTCTATCATGTCTCAATGAAAAGGGACGTAAGTACTTTTAAAATGATATTATATTTAATGGAAACATAAATACTCTGATATTTTCCTATTTATAACTATAGACATTTTGGAGAGAAACAGTTGAAAAACTTGCTTAAACTTTCTCAATTTTATTTTCATCATCCAAAGTGATGTTTTCTATGCTTATTCATTTATTATTTTGATGGAACTGGAGTTTGAACTTGCAAAGCAGGCACTTTGTTGCTTGAACACACAGCTACAGGCAGTCCATATCACTTTGGTTATTTTGGAGATGAGGTCTCACAAACTATTTCCCCACGCTGGCCTCAAGCCATGATCCTCCTGATCTGAGCCTCCCACCTAGCTAGGATTACAGGGATGAGGCATAGGCACCAGGTGACACTGTTAAGTGAATAAATGAAACAGCCTATATGAAAGCTCCAATCAACTCAGTACATGATAAACACTACCCTAAAGTTTCCACTATTAATGACTTGACAGGGAAATAATAATTATGAGTATTTTATGAATGATATACCAAATAAGCAGCCATTCACTGCAAGGATGCTATACATAACATGTAACCTACAAAGAATTAATTCCTGTTTGACAAAATGCTCAATGAATGAGCCAGAATATGGCACAATAAAAATTAGAATAATCTTGACCCATGCAGTTTTATGGAAGCTTTGATTTTTTTTTGAGTTTTTATTTCATTTGTCACTGTTGGACAGAGTTTCATAATTAAAGATTTAAGTGAGGATAATGACATATGCAAACATGCTTCCATCCTCCATAATGAATGCATTTCTTGCCAATGGTAAGTGCATCTCAAAAACCAATTGCTACACTAGTAGCATATGCCTGGCCCACATAGAAATGTGGGTGGTAGATTAGAAAGAGTTAGTATCCCGAGGAGGATGTGCTATAGTGAAGAACATGCTCTTCTAATCACTCAGAGTCTCATAGGGGTCAAGCACCATGTCCCAAAGAATCCCTTTGATGCAATAGGGTGCATATCTAGATGGCTGGGCAGACAATGGGATGTGCAGGGCTGGCTGTGATCTGGTAACTTACTTTGTGTCACAGTCCTGAATGTGCAAAGAATAGTTCACAGCTTCCAGAATGACTATGAAGAGCAATCCTTCTGGGCTTTCACTGTCTGGATTTCTCATTGAGGCTTCCTCCTCTAGAATCCTTAGTCTCTGCATTGATCAATGAGGGCTTTATAGTTCCTCAGGACTATGCATGGTTTGGCTGCTTTCCATTGTAGACTATCTTTGGACATTATACTACAGTTAGGGTAAAAAATATCATGTATCCTCCATGAACTTCCACAATATGAATGATATCTTCTGAATTCTCTTGTCTCTCTGTGGACTGATGATATATGTTTATTTATATACACATACAGATACATGCATATATGCAAAAATACATACACACTGTCAAATAATGAGCCTGAATAATAATCTAGTCTTTGTTTCTGTTTCTCCTAGTTTCTATGGATCCAACAACTTGCTCGAATGATGAAAATGGTAAGTTTTAATGTATGTTGACCTTCACACTGTGCTATCCCATTTTGTCACTGTGGATTATTTTAACTTTTGAACAGCCTTGGCTTAAATCATAAAAATCAGAATGGCTGGATGTTGCAGAATGGGCTCACTGATATTTTAATTAATAACATGCACTACCTAGGCATCTTTTTAATACAGTAAACTACTGGTTTGGATATGAGATGACTTTAATAAGAGGACACAGTGATATTATCTGAACTATTTTGACAAAAGAACTTCATTCCTTTCATTCTGTGTGTTCTATGTTTGTAACAGCTGAAAAAAGCATACTATCAAATTCATTCTAGACTTTTTAAGGCTAAAACCATGACTTGATACAAATGAGTGCATTTTACGCAGAAGGGTTTGGGCTCTGCTCTGTGTGGTTATCTGCTTAATCCTCTTAATGCTCCTATCATGTGGTATCACATGGTATAGCAGATTTCCTCATCCTACAGATGACGAAAATGAGCTGAGATTGACTGAGTCTCTCACACATGATATATAGCTAGATCTGGGCCCTTAAGACAGGCCATCAAGTGAAGGTCTCTGTTCTTCTTCTCTGTATGATTCTGTCCTAATACAGAGTCATAGAGCAAGAAATTCCCAAGCCAAGGCCCCCAGTCATTGACATCTGGTTTGGGTGGCTTTAGGGTACCACAGACTGGACTGCATCCAGATCTCTTAATGGTGAGTTGTGTGCATATGGGCCAGTGACTTCCATTCTGTAATACTTTGACTATCTGCACACTGAGAATAGTTACCCCAAACTCTCAGTTATCGAAGAGATAAAAGTCCATATGTGAAATATGCAGGCTAGTTTTTCTTATTTAGAAAACTCAGAGTAAATTCTAGTTTCTGTGCATTTCTCCCTACTTATACACCAAGAATGTGACTTGAAACTGGCTGCAGCCATGCTGACATTTCCTCTCTTACCTATTTCTTCCGTTTCCCACATCCACAAGGCTCTGGAACTCAGCCTCTATACCCGGCAGGAAGAGGTGTAACCCTTCCCTGATCAAGAGCAAAGAATTATGAACACATTTTTGAGAATATTTTCTACACAAAGGGTTAATGATTCTTGAGTTCTGATTATATGGAAGATGGAACATATAAAATGGAAATTTCCACAGGAAGAGACTTGCTCTTTGGGTCCTCAAGTTACCACTTTAATTATCTCTAATTGGCACTTGACATCACATATATTTCTATAAAATTTGAAGGGATATCAAGTGCAATAACCCCGTAATATTATAGCACCAATGAGAGACATTGAGAAAAGGTTTGTGAGTATGTCACAGCCATGGAATATCTTGGGAATTTAGATTAACCACTTTCTTTCATTTTTTATAGTGCCCTTAAAAAAAAAATCTCCCACCCACTGGGTTGAAAAACTCATCAAATTTCCATGGATTGAACCGGATTATCACTCAGTGTGCAACATGTCATTGTCCAGGTGCTCCTAAATCAGCAATTCAAATTCATATTTAGGTTTAACTTTGTGATGTCCTATGAATTTATTGCACTTGGAGAACAGAGTTATAGAGAAGAGATGAATGTGTTTTTGTAGTCATCCTGGGGTCAAATCCTGGGACAGTCATTTTGTAAAGTGCCAGGCAAGTTACTTCTTGTCTTTATTTTCTTTGTTTGCAAAAAGGGAATATAAATAGTTTCCCTCATTTATAGGTTCTTATAAACATTAAATGAAATTAAAGCTTTACATACAAAGCTCTTAGAAGAATGTTCAATGAATGCTATCTAGTATATTCATATAGAGACATGTTGGGGTGAAGATATTCTTCAACCTAGTTATCACAAATAATTTCCCCCATTTAACTTATTCCTTAACAATGTAGCCTTAATTAGAGGGTGTTTTTCAATATTAGGAAGGTTCTAAGGGAATTAAGCAGGGGTTGTTAATTGACTTGCCTTGCGAGCAGAATCTTGCTCTTGATGGTTCTGGTGACAGTGGTAGGTGTTGATTTTTAGGTTTTGGTGGGGTGGTATCATGTCAATGTAGGTCATCAGAAAACTATTTGTGACATCCATCATGATGATATGTCCCATCCCATAAAATAGTTGAAACTAATTATACAATTTCTTTTAGATGTGTTGCGGGTGCAGCTGACAAACACCTCTGCCTACTACACCTACCTCCTCCTGCTCCTCAAGAGTACAGTGCACTTGGCCATCGTCATCTTCTGCCTGTACAGAAGAACAGATATGTGTGGCAATGGGAAGACTTCCTGATGAATGGTGGAACAAAGGGTCATCTTGTCTTCATGGTTTATTATCCCAATAATGTCTGCTGAGGATGCAGCTGGGCTTGCTTGCTAGGTTCAGGCTCCTTAAGGTCACATGTGTATCATCACTTGTTGTTAAATAAAGGTTTTCAAATTAGTGGACAAACTGAGCTGCTTCACTCTGCAAAAAGGAACAACCCATGGCAGTGCCTTTCTTCACTATCTCCATTGTCCCCTCCAGCATCCCAACCCATCCAAGGTCTAAGGCCTAGTGTGCACAGCTTATAGCTCCTAGTGACAGCTCTTGTTGCCCTTTAACTAGGTAATACCCTGAAAGCCTCCATTCTACACACTCAGAAGAGCTTTCTTTGCCTCTTGAATTCTGTGCTTTGTTTTTCTTAAGAAACAAATAAATAAAACTAGTAAAACCTGCATTTGTACATTGGTGCTTTAATTTAATGAAACTGAATTCAAAATCCAAGGTGATAAGCAACATGACAATTGAGCCATGAAGTTCGGTGTTGGTTGTTAACAAGGGTTGAACACCACTGTCTAATTCTGTCCCTGTGATGGTGGTTTTGATTCTTTCCATGGGGCACTGGGTCATAGAGGAGCCACAGTCATCTGCAGATGCCCATGCTACTGCTCTTTTAAAGGTCACCAGATTCAAGTTCATTTGGTTTGAGATATTTTGATGGCAATAGGAAACTCACACTGCGTGCTCAGCTCAGTACTGGTGTTTCACAGCAGAGAGCCAGTATGATAGAGGATTTAAGCAGAGGGCCTGGCTTTCAAGCTTAGGTTTGGAGTTTAGTATCTGGGTGACCTCAGATAAATTAATTCCCTGTGCCATAAAATGAAAGTAGAATGTCTAGTCTCTTAGAGTTGTGTGGATTAGACGAGTTAATGCTTGGTGCACGCGAGTCCTCAAAGCACTGTATATGCTCCTTACTTTAAATGGTGCACACCACAGTGACACACACACACAAAAGTAATAATGATGATCTCTCTTCCTATTACTCTGCAGAGAGGTAGGATGGGATGGAATAGGAACTCAGCTTCTACAATGTAACAGGCAACCCATGAATCTTCCAAAATCCAAGTAGATGCAATTTTGGTCTACAGTATATGCATTAGAAAAATTGTTACCTACTCAAGGTCACATTTTTCCTTCCTGATTTTGTTCTTGGGATCAAACCCAAGGCTTTATGTTCACTAAGACTGCCCTCCACCACTTTGCAGTACTTCCAGGCCCATGGCCCCTACTTTTAAATAATAGTTATAATCTAAAATTCAGTTCCCTGACCCATGTGTGTGTGTTTGTATACATATTGATTTCACCCAGTATCAAGTATCTTTTTATTTCACTTACTTTCAATTGGGAAAACCCAAAACAAAATATGCATATCTTCTTTACTGAAGGCATATTCCCATAAATCAGTGAGGATTTCCTTCAGGGACTGTGACTGCAGCTCTTTTTCTCCTAATGTATAGTCCAGGTCTCTGGTTTGTCACTAATTTCTTCATTCTTTCCTCTTTGGTAAAACTGTGACTTACTCTGGAATCACTGTAATTGACTCCGTTGGTTAAAAAATAGAGCAGAAATTCTCTCTTCCATTGAATGTTTGTTCTTGATTTACATGTGGTCTTTTGGGGCAAGTTCTAATGAAGTGGACTGTGAGCCTCAGGCACGGTAGGACCCGTAATGGTTTTCTCTGGATGTGGGCAGTGCTCTGACACCCCAGTACCTCCATAAACTGAATAAACCTTGAGGTCCTCAGAATCACCCTGTGAAGTCAGATGTGGTGAGGTGCATGTCTGAGACTGGAAGGAGATGCTACATCCTTCGTGGTACAGGACTTTTCTTTCCACAGTACAGCTGTGGTAAGAAACTTATTGGAAAGCCATATCGGGTGGTGGGTGGATCCTGGACTTGGAGCCTCACTTCACAGATAGTTAGAGCCCTGGCTACCTGGTCTGGCTCTAACTACCTAAATTATTTATTATTTTTAATGACACATAAAACCACATGCAATTATGTGGTACCATGTGATGATCTGATATATGTATACATAGTGGAGTGTCCAATGAGAGTATCAATCTCAAACATTTACCATTTCTTTGTGGTGAATACATTCAAAATCCTTTCCTCTAGCTTTTAAAAAGTAGTCAATTTTCTTTATCTGTAGTTTTTCCCATCTTACCTCATTTATCCACCTTGAGAAGAATGTATTCAAATTAAATAATACCAGATTTCTGTGCAAAGTTACAAATTCAGTGATTAACACCTTTATGAGGTAGTAATAGCAACCACACAGAGGTACTGGTCTAAGTGTGCAATACCTTATTTAATTCTAACAAGAATTAAATTGTCACTGTTCTATAATTGGGGAAACTGAGGCAGAATTAGCTAAAGAGCAAATGAGCATCAGGGCCAGGACTGGAATCTAAGCTGCCTGGCTTCAGGAACTCTGTGTTTACCCTCTACAACAGTTGCTCCAAAAGTAGAAACAGGTTCTGTTTAGGAAAATCTCCTTTCTCTTTAGGCTCAGTGCTGTTGAAAACAACCCCATTAGTGGGCCCAACTTCCTCTCCTGACTCCTGTGCTATTCTTACCACTAGAGATCAATAAGCCAATGTGGCAAGGGATTTGTGTGTATGCTTGTGTGTGTGTGTGTGTGTGTGTGTGTCTGGGGATAGAACCCAGGGCCTCACATGCAAGGCAAGGGTTCTACTGCTCAACTATATCCCCAGCCCTGCTACAGGATTTTTGGTGCTGAGAAGACATACACATTGACTTCCTACCAAGAAGACTTCTATGACTCAAGTCTAGGGCACATGGATGGATGAAATACATACCAGTCCAGCAGGCTGCACCCTCAACTCTTCAATGGAAAAATGAAGCAAAGGTTTATGTAAGCATTGTGAAGACACCCATATCTCAATGGTCATTACGGTGCTAGAGTACTCCATATGTTTCTCAAACAAAATCTATATGTTCTCAACTACAAAAAAATGGGAAAACTTCAGGGAAACAGTTCTCAAATATGCATTCTCTCTACTGCTTTGCAATTCTTTACCTCATAAACTTCATTTTTTGAAGGCTTTTTGTCTATCAAACAGAATATAGCCAGTTTATTTTCTTTGTTATATAAATCAAAGTCCTATATATCTGCCTGTATGAAATACTGAACAATCAGATACACCCATAGATACTGCACAAAGATGACATCATTCAGCTAAAAGCTTAGAAAGTCAACGTATTCACGTGTCACAAAATCTTATGTGTCTGAATGTATAGTTTCCACATGAGGCAGGACTTTTTCACAGGCCAGAGGTATATGGACTTAAAAAAAATCTTCAGTACTTCTAATGCACAGCCAGGATTAAAGCTTGCACATGTTTGAAATAGCCCCTGGACTCCAGTATGGCTGTCACAACTGCAAGCCATGAGGGGCCATCATGGAGCACATTACCAGGTATGGGACAGGCCTCTGCTAAAAAGTTTTCTCACCATTTCATCCATCAATGTACTCTGGAACTGAAATGTATATTCTAACATCATGTGCAAGGGTGTTCATTCATTATAGCACTTCCTAGATCAACTCCAAATTAACCCAAATGCCCAAACAAAAATCACTAAAGGATGTCACAAGATAGATCAATATGCATGTTCTAAAATTGCAAATTCTTTAAAGAAATGGAAAATAATCAGGACATGGTGTCCTGGTGTATCATATGAAACTATTAAAATTATAAGACAGTACATTTACAAGGTTCAAAAAAATCAAATCATTCCTATTTTTATTTATGTAAACATGAATGCATATATATATATGTATACATATATATATACATACAGTCACTGTTCTTCACAAGATAGGATAGAACATGCATTATTCTGCACTTTTCCATGTATAAATCTCAGGTTTTATTTCCATATATATGGACATTTTGATAGCTACATGATATATCACTAATGAACATAAAGTGTTATCTCATAAATTCTCCCTAATAGATGCTGGGTTCATTTCCAGTGTTTTGGAACTATGAAAATCCTGAAATAAATACCAAGTGTTATGTCATTTTGAACATGTGCATTGGTAATTTTGATAGGCAATGCCAACTAGCCCTTTACAGGAGCTGCTTTTATGTTATCTACTGCCATGTATGGGACTGCCCTAAAGTGAGCTTTCAACCATCATGATTTTGCTAATCTGACATATGAAAATAGGATCTCACATTGGATTTCACTTGCATTTCTTCTATTTTGAGTGAAGATAAACATCTCTTCAGGTGTTTGACTGTTTACATTTTTGGCCAATATTTGTTCATATCTTTGACTTTTTTCTATGAAGTATGACACTTGCTGTGTATCTCTGCATTTTTGAGACAAATGTATAAAACATGATTTTCACTCTATGATATGTGGGCAAAAGGGGAATAAATAACTGATTTCATTAATGAGTCCTTTTGAAGTAATAGCTACTCTATTGTTTTTATTTTTTGACATTTTATTTTATTTTGTATTTATTTATTTCATTTTTATTACCACATATTCTCTGTATGGGGGGATTCATTGTGCCAATTCCCAATAGCCTTACATCATACATTAGTTAGATCACCCTCACTATCTACCCACCTGCAAACCCCTCCCTACCCCACTTAAAAAGCAATTGCAAGAAGTTTCATCATTCTATTTCATGTATACGAAGCCCATCAATCATATTCCCTCACTTTCATCTGCTTCATTCACCCTCCCCCTTCCCACAAGTATCCTCTCTCCACACACAATAACTGTCTTTCATTTAGTCAATGTTCAAAGGGGTTTCTTGATGTATCCCAGCTGTGAATATACTTTACTTTGGTCAGTTTGACCCCCTCTGTTACTCTCTCTTACCTCTTCCTTCTCACACCCTCATTCAACAGCTCTCAGTACAAATCATCATGTCCTTTATCTTCAGAGATGCAAAGCATTTAGATATTGCTGACTCTTTATTATGCTATTTTCCTTTCCTCCTCCCCAGAGTGCCATAGAGTAGTTCCACTACTACAAACATGTTCTACATACAAATTAGAATATGATCATGTTTGTTTTTGTCTATTGGTTTATCTTCTGGATCTATCTTCCACATACGGAAGAAAATATGTGGCCTTTGTCTTTCTGGACCTGGCTTACTTCACTTAACATGATGTCCTCAAATTCCACCCATTTACCCTAAAACCACATAGTTTCATTCTTGTTTTTTTTATTTAATTTTTTATTATTCATGTATTCACATGTGCATACATTGTTTGGGCCATTTCTCCCCCCTCCCCCCATCCTCCACTCCTCCCCCACTTCAAGGCAGAAACTGTTCTGCCCTTATCTCTAATTTTGTTGAAGAGAAGACATAAGCATAATAAGGAAGACAAAGCATTTTTGCT